CCTCATCCTTTAGCCAGACCCGCTCCTGCAAAAGGTCTTCCCAGAACCTTGGTTTCCTCAAATAATCAATCTCTGACTTCCAAAACCGATCTGCACGATCCATCTTCATAAAGTTATAGAGCTCTGTCGCCTTGAGAGTATGTAAGACGTGACGATTCCTCCCCAGATGCAAGATAAATTATGATATTTCTTGTATTCTGTCTGAACCTTTGAACCTTTGAACCTTTGACTTTATTTTTTGTGTTAGATATTTTCTGAATGTTTATTGCGGGAAAATTTAAATTTTCGGAATTGCATATTGGCCAAAATTTTGGAATTCGGTTGGCGGGAAAGTTTAAATTTTCGGAATTGCATATTGGCCAAAATTTTGGAATTCGGTTGGCACACAAAACGAATCTCATAAGTGTTAGTAGTGTTTTAGGAACACTTTGGATCAAAGTAACTTTGTGTTCGGAATTTTTTTGTCCTAACCGCTTACGAGATGTTAGTTTGAAGTGTAATTACATCGTTTCACAGCGCACCAACCTTGTTTGGCTCACCCACAGTTGATTTGGTTCACTTTTATCACATCCCGACGGTCCCACTGGTCCCACTAGTCCCACTGGTCCCACTGATCGAATTTCACGAATTCAACGCTTTGGGAGTGTAATGTACGATCATACAAATGGTTCGGAGGAGGAATCGGGGTTGAAAGTCGTTGAGCATTATTCGATCGAAAGCTATGAACACAAAACGAATCCCATAAGTGTTAGTAGTGTTTTAGGAACACTTTGGATCAAAGTAACTTTGTGTTCGGAATACAAGTTACATTTAACGCAGACTAATTATGCGAATAATTTCAAATTTGTTCTTTTCGACGAATCCGATTGTGAAAATGACGATGTTGAATTATGGGGTCTTTTACAAGCCTCGCCAGGTCCAGGGAAACGATTCTGTTTAGGTCTTCCGGTCCGCCGTTTTTCTTCTATTATAGGCGGCATCACTGAAAAATTTAAAATTTCGGGCGGGACAACCCAATCACAAATATCGGGCACCGGATAGACAGTCTCTTGGTAAGCCTTGACCCAAGTCTCTCGCCAGTAGTATTCAGAGCATAATTCGTGAATCTCAGTACCTTTTCCCACCTTATGTGCTGCTGCAATTGCATGGCTACATGGATACCTGTCCACATCAAACTTTCTGCAACTACAGGTTCTATCACCAAGATTTACCAAGTTTCTTCTACCTTTTTCATCCCTTGCCTCAAACATTCCACTCAGCCTGTTAAGTTCAATAACCTCATACGTGCAGGCCTTCTCAAACCGTTCATGCAGCACTTTGTACACATACGGAGTTAACTTTTGAGAATCATCAGCACCACATGCTTCCACCCTGTACCTACTGAACCATTCTACCGTCTTCGAGACACAAATATCAAGCAGACTGAGTAGCAGATACCTTTTGGCCTTCTTCAAAACGGAGTTGATTGATTCGGCACCATTGGTGGTTAATAAGTTGTATCTCTCAGTCCGAAATTTACACCTCGCCCATTTCTCCGGAGCAAGTTCTTCTTTTTGCATGTACTCCGCCGCTTTGGGATACCTGAAAATCATGAGATATTCACATCAGTTTACTCAAGTCACACCGTTGAGAAAATCACACTGGTCCAATTGGTCCCAGTGGTCACACCGTTGAGAAAATCACACTGGTCCAATTGGTCCCACTGGTCACTAAATTCATACCTGTTCTTGAAATCAGAGTACAATTCTTCAAACTCCTTCTCCCTGTATTCCGATGCACATTTAAAAAACAATTTAGCCACGGTTTCACCTCTTGAACCCTTTCTTCCGGCTCCCCTATTAACATGTGATTTCAAGTTTTGCGATATGTGCCTTGCACAAAAACCATGATCAGCTTGTTTATATACTTCTCTCACAGCTTTCATTATACTTTTATGTCTATCGGATATCACAACCACAAATGGGTTGGAAAAGTTAAGGATGGGAAGGGAGTCATATTCATGTGTCCTCCAACTGAATTGAAATACCAACGTCTTGTTGAAGAGTTATGTTCTGAAATGAAGGCGGACCAAAGTAAAACAGACATGAAGCTGAGCTATTTGCCGACTTTAAAAGGAGGTACTGAGCCG